TCATTTGCGAATCAATTTGGTTTTCACAAAAGACTCAATTGAATCTCTCGTTTGTGATATTCGAATGATATGATATCTCGAATATCGTGCCAGCTGAATCATGAGGCTGTCTGTGTGCAGCACATTCAGTTGTAGAATATCATAAACGAGAGATTTATTTGAGTCTCTCGTGAAAGCCAAATTGATTTTCAACTGAGTGTATTTCTCGAAAACAGTGCAATTTGGGTTCAAGTAGAACATAAGGTTGACGGAAACTCGGGCACTGCGCCTACCTGATGAGCCCCAAGAAGGGCGAAACCGGCCGTGGGCTGTCGAAGAGTTTTCAGCAAACTTGTGAGTAGTTTCCTTTATGAGATGAGTGGTGTTTATGGGTTCGAATCAGCCTCCGGTTTACGTGGACGCACACAATTGCCTTTTCGCACATCCACAGATACGCTAAAACGATCCAAGGCAATATTGCGGACGCAACATCTCATGAGTGATGCACTCGGACGGGTAGCCTCAGTTTTCATAATTATGTCCATCATTTCATCCATTTTTCATTGGCTAGCATTGTTCTTGGGATGGGCTGATCGATGACCCATTTTGAATGGACTACTATCACAGCGAATTAGAAATCGAGACATTGTCGAGCACGTACTAACTACGCACGTACTACAAGTGCCATATATATATATATATATATATATATATATATATATATTACTCATTAGAGACATGAACAGATAGCACACGATAACTCCTTATCTCCCCAGTTCCCACGATCTGCCACTTTGTCAGGGTACACCATGCAACTACTTCGGGTTTCGGTTCATACTTCAGCCTAGGAGAGAGGCTCTGGATAGCCTGGTGTTGCCGATGCATCAAAGCGTCCTCTATTCAAGCTTACAGAATATTTGAGTATGCGCTGCTGTGTGTGTGTCGCCGAACAGTCAAAGTTACCAGATTGTTGTTCGTTGACAGAGTGCAGAAAAAATTGGAGTTGCTTCACGTTTGTCGTCTCCTTCAAGAGGATGCGCCCCATTTCGAGAAAAAATAATACATTACTAGTGCGGAAGTATCCTTGAGGAATGCGGTGTTTGCAAAATGAAAAGAACTCAGTCAAAGTAAGATAACAGTATTGTATAACTGAATGCTTGAGAGCCAAAATGAGAGTGATCTAGGGCTGGATCACCTGACACTAGTAGTGCGTCCACTTTAAATTCAAATTCAAATTAAACTACTCAAGCTAATATTAATAGAAATACTAGTTGTTCCGCTGCAACGGCCTTTCGATGCCTAGCCGCCATGTCAACCAAAGGAAGCACGAGGGCTGGAATACTGCTTGGCTGCCCAGGCGTAGACAGGGGAAGTCTAGGGGCATAGGTCGGGTTCGAACCACGGACCTTCCGGTCAGTAAATTTGCAATCTAACCACCTGAGCCATCTCTCTGATGCCTCCCGTTCATCGTCGCTATCGTTTTTGACTACTCACGTAAGTAGCTGCTGATGAGGAGTATGAGTGCATATGGTGTACTCAAGTGAGGTTCATGCTCTGAATTTGCACAGCACCAGTTTTCTACCATGTATCTATGCAGATTCTCCAGGTTTGGTATGACGTAATTTGAAACCTTCCAGAATCAAGCACACCCAAAATGTGTATTTTGCCTGTTCCACATTATATTTGCTTTGTCCTAGTTACAGCTGGTAACCTGGTTACGGTCACACAATTCAGCCGGACAGGAAACCGATGGCACACCGTTTGTGTCTAATTCAATCTGAACTCGTACGCTGGGTGGAAGATTTCAAAAAGATTTCATGTAGACGGATCTTAGACTAGACTTCAAAAAAATAAACAATCGATGCGTGAATGTGTTCAGTCTACATCAAAAAGCTAGGAAGCCCTGTGCAATGCGCACCTAAAGCCTCTATAGGAATGCTCGGACCCGTGGTTCAATATATTTTGACCGGGAATTTTCAGATGTGGACCGGTTTTAGATATTCCCACCATTTGTGTAGCCAACAACGGTGACGTTCGCTACGAACAACAAAATTGGAAAAATTGCTTTAGAACCATGAGAGTCGTCGTAGGGAAGACCTCTGTAGCCCAAATGGTCTCTGATGGGGTTAGGGGAGTGATATTGCAACCCAACGGAGACTGGGAGACTGTAGAGCATCACTACTACGGAAGTGCTTACCGCGAGGACGGATCGTTCTATAGAAGACACTGCGTTTTATACCTTCTCAAACCTGACCTCTTTCATCTTCACCTCCTGAACTTTTTCGCTGTCTGTTGAAACCCCTTGAAACCCATGACCGGTTTCACCCTTCTTAAAGCTCATCAGGTAGTCTCTCGTAGAAACCAAACTGATTTGCAAATGATTGTATTTCTCGAAAACAGCCCGATTTGGGTTAAAGTAGAACATAAGGTTGACGGAAACTTGGGGACTGCACCTACCTGATGAGCCCCAAGAAGGGCGAAACCGGTCGTGGGCCGTCCAAGAGTTTTCAGCAACCTTGTGAGTAGTTTCCCTTGAAACCCATTTACAAACTGGCACTTCTGTTGGAACACTCGTCAAACGCGCAAAGTTAGATCGTTTTTACCACACCCCTTAAACCCTGGTAGATTATCTTGACTGCGCAATCTCATGTATGAGCAGTCCATATATGTGGAACACAAGCAGCTGACGAGACCCAAGCACTTAAATTCAGCTTTGATCTCTCTTCAAATTTTTAAAATCTCCCTGAAACTGCTGATGTCGTTGTTGGAAAGAACTGGAGGTATTCACTTCCAGTCGTTTTGTCAATGAAACTGTTTGACCGATCCACATGCTGTTCTACCTTTTGGAATATTCTACCTAAGTCCGTATCAAATACGGTTTTTCGAACTATGATTTAATCAGTCTGGGATGCCCAGTTCTAACCACTGGCCTTTCATGTCTCCATACTCCAAATCTAAGATGTCTTATCGTCCTGAATATCATTGGGACTCGACTGTGAAGTCACGTTCGCGCTGCCATTCCAAGGTAAACCCAAAGGAAATCAACAATACGGTTCGTCAGAGGTGAAATTGTATAGCATTTGTAACAAGTAAAGTAACGATATCTGAACAACATTCCAGAGAGCAGTACAGCTGAGGAGCAATAAGACGATGCTGGTGAAATTAGACACTATCTCAAAAAAGTCCCACTAAAATGAGACGCATAAGGTAATAAAAGACGTCAGGAACAATGGAACTGAGATAGTCGGTGAGACTGGGGAGCAAAAGTTTAAAGGAAAGAGAGTGCATCTCGATGTTGAACTTGCACAGGATTCGTTGTGTCAACTGTGGACAAGCGTTGGAGTGTCTCATGATAACAAAATCGGCTGAGACACTGAACAATTCGGGGCTTATGATGAAATGATTCATCCGTTTTATAATGGCTACGCCGGTGACAAACAGTTTGGAGCTCCTTTATCATTTTCTTTTCTTCTTCGTGAAAGGCGCCAAGTGGTTGGCAAAAGTGTTTCGAGTTGGACGTTTTGAATACGATAGCATTGTTGACCCGATTTACCTCTACCTTTATACACTGTGACCTCTTCCACTGTCACAAACAACACCTTCAGTGTTTTCAATAAAGGTGTCGTCCGGTAAGTGAGGCCAATCTATGCTGAAAAACTGAGAAGCACAGTGCACCTTTTCATCCTTGTTTTGAGTCCTCTCACAAAACTCAGAACCCGTGGACTTCCGAGTATATGGGAACTAGCAGTTGATAAGCAGCGTGATTAGCCCTCACTTAGACGAGACACAAAGCTGCTCACTCTTCAGTCATGGAAACCACATCACTTAATCACGTGTTGACTGGCTCCTGGAGTAGCTAGCATATTCTCAGGAAGTTTAATTCGTCATGTGAAATTATTCTTCCTCCTAGCTACTAATAGATTGATGGTAGTGTCAGGAAATTTGGTCATTTTCAGTAGAGATTACTTCCCGTCGGTGGAGCCATTCTAGGTTAGAGTCAACCACGCTGCTGATCAGCCTCTTGTGGTCGAAAAACTGTCCAACCAGTGGCCTGAAGGTTACCGGTTCGAAACCGTTTAGAATTTCACGAGATATACGTTGCTCATGATCCCCAACAGAATTGCAACAGCTGTGCGTGCTCTTCAGAATAGGTCGACTTCATGAACAGGACGAAATCTCTACTGAGAATCACCAACTCTTCCCACACCATCATCAACTTCAGCGTTGTCGGGTGGATTAGCCCTAAGCCTTCTCACTCCTTTAACTTATACCACCAATGTGACCAGAAAAACACGGACAAACTGAGAAAGGAGAACTGAAGTACTTCAATTTAACTGAAACTTCGACGAAGCTAGACCGCACTCAGTAGAAAAACGAAGAGTTCGGTCGTCAGCTACTACATCCATTATCATATGTTCCCATCCAAAACTATGGGTCTAAATACTCTAAGAAGGTAACCGGGACTGAGTTGAGCACGAAGTTATCGCACGAATCCTCAAATAAGCCATCAATATCCCCAGCTTTATGGCTACTGAAAAGTGCATGGGTGACCATCTGCGAAGATTCGTTTAGACACCATGTGGCAATAAAACAGGTTGGTGAAATTTAGCATGTTTTCTTCTAAATCTGACCTGTAGTTGGAATCGGTGCGCAAAGACGAATCTGCCGCGATATTCAGCTGGAAGCGTACCGATTCCCCGCGAATGTGCCCCTATTACTTTTAGAACTAAGGCATCACACAGCTTGTTTACACATGTTCCATTAGACGAACGAGTGGGCTGTGAGTTTCCCAGAATAACGATATTTACTTTGGTTATAATGCAAAAGTGGTCAATTCTAGGTCACCCACACATGAGGGTGACACACTACTCATAAGGTTGCTGAAAACTCTTCGACAGTCCACGGACAGTTTCATCCTTCTTGGGGTGTAGTCACCGGATTTTCGTCAACCTTATGTTCTACTTGGATCTAAACTGGAAAGGTTTTCCTAAATAAATGCGCTTACACACGCATCACGATATCTAGAATATCGTAGCAACTGAAACATTAGGCGGCCTGGTGCAACACAATCGGTTGCTTAAGAGCATTGTAAACGACATATTCAGAAGGTTCCAGGTGAGTCTGCCGTCAAAACCAAATTGCTGTGCAAGTGAGTGTACTTATCACAATCGCTACGTCTTCCGTCCTAACAGGGTCATCCCAGATAAATTCTGCAAGACTTTCGAACCTGACCCTAAGGTTCTAGGATTACATCAGTGACCCCAACACCAGGAGATAACCTCACGTTCGCACAGGCTGCGTAGGAATTCACGTGGGGATTTCTGGCTTAATAAGTGCCGAGAAGATGACTTGGAATTCGACTGCCAGTGAACAGCAAAGTTGCTTACCAACTTTTTTGTAGCCCTCCAAGTTCCAAAGCTTTGAGCTTGAAGTTTTTACCAGTGAGTTTTACTGATTACACCCGACAAGTCACGAAATGCCTAGTGGGCTGCGTTTCATGGACCAACAGCATCTGTTTTATAGGTATCACTTGTAAAATCTCCAAGCTAAGGATGTCGTAATTATCAAGTTTTCATCCGGCATCGTGAAAGTCAGGAGAATGCTTTTCCACTCTGTAGCGCTCAGGCTACTGGTAAATTTCCAAGCTTCTGGTCTTTCGAATTTCAAGAAGGTTTGACCAATTAATCGTCATAAACACCCGCAAGCTGTCTAATTCACTATATGCCGTGAGTTTTTGCTCTGCCGAGTTGTCCGAGAGCAACGTTCCTAAGGCGTCTAGGTTAACCGATTCCCTCAAAAAGCAAAAGACAGAGTCATTGCCGACTCATAAGTTTTGGTAGTGAGATAGTCTCACGTAAAAGTCAGACTTTCCGAAAATATCAGCCCTAAAATCAGCTTCATGAATCAGTCAATATGTTGACTACTTTCGGCTGCAATTTCGTTTCAGTTTTCCAACAGCAGCATAGTATCACAGCATAGTGTCAACGTTTTCACCCCAGCCGGTTCGTTGGCTACTGCCAAAACAATTAGACATATTTTGTGCGAAAGTGCTCCTCCACTCCTCCCCTGCACATGTAGTATTTTGATTTGTAAGCTCATTGGCAGATAAGGAAGGAGCTTTTAAATTTTCGGAGACTGCGTAAGCATTGTCAATGACCGAATGGTGTCATAGCTTTATCAGCCAACCAGCACAATTTGTTGTAATTGCCTGAAGAACGAGAGCAAAGTCTCTACCTCTATCAGGATATGGATGTAGTTAAAACCTTTTGTTTTCAGTTTGGTGCCGTTTGGTCTTCAGTACCGTCGCCCGTGTCTGCTTTTCGAAACGGCTGTGTTATCTTCAGCTCTCCATGATTAATCAAATATCATTGAAGCCAAACTATAGGGAAAGTTTTCCAAGGGAAATCAGCAAAGCATGACCATATTTCTATGTAAAGAAAGACGTAAACCCATAATAGCACAAAACGTATCCGATAACTCCGTTTCATAGAACATTTTCGAATCCTATAAATGAGCGCATGAATGTAGTTTTGTGCCACTAAGTGTGAAGTGTGAAGCAAAGTAGTGCATTGACTGATAATGCTGACTGGTTATTCAGTAACCACTTCGGGATGAATCTTACGAAAACTGGTCACTCACTTGATGAGTCCACATTTGCATCACTTATCAGTTCCGACCAAGTATGCATTTAGATAAGCGTCTCTCACCTCCGAAAAATAAAAATTAATAATAATTGATAAATACAGATGAATGACCATACTGCTGATGGAAAACCAGTAGTTGAAGTAGCGATGAGAGGTTTCTCTCTAGGTTCACATTATGGTCTCATGGAATCCTCTGTAGTTCATACTCCAAACAAATGCAAACGATTCCAACTGGGATTCAGCGTGACAGGAACAAAACTTGGAGATTACAGAGGATTCCTAGTTGATTCCTGGTGGCAGTGTACGTCTCTTCACTCCTTACATCTATTTGGACAGCACAGGATAAATCAACTTTACGACACATAATCCAATATGAGTTTCTACCACTGTTTTTGTTTGCGTAAAGTAATTGAGTCGCGAGAAACGAATCATGTTAGCCCAATTACTTTGGTTACCTCCGCTCTGCAACCTTAGTAGGCAGTTCGGCCCGAAAGTATAAAGCCTGGACTTCATCAGCATTGTTGCCACCCGTGAGTAAAATTGCATGCTATCATTCACTTCGCCAAGTTTTCTCACTGCCTCGCATTACAGGGGTTCTGCTCTACAATGCAGACCAGATTCAGCACCGTGTGATTTGAAGCAACTTCCTCGTTAAGGATTGGCTGTCATTAAAATTTACTGAAACAACTCCCTCTCTCCTCGATAAAACATTAAAAGACCTGTTAAAAAGTGTTTGATCATGGGAACAGAGTAAGAACGAAAAGTGCACGCTCTCTGAACCATTGCCATCATGCTTCCAGTCTATTCTGGACTCTGAGTTAGCGGCGGGATACTTATTTTCTCATAGGGTGACTGATTCAAATAATCAATGACAATCGTGCGTGTTCGTGCTTGAGATATTTAAGCGCACCCTGCCGAACCCACATAGTTATCGCTGACCCATATCATCTAGGTCATTCCAGACAAACTAAACTAGTGAGCTTCATAACACCTGGCCAAACTAGCACGGGAAAAACAAGGTAGAGAGATTCTGCACTGATGGGTTTTGTTACATAGCAACGGAAACTGTGTTTATTTCTTAGGGACCAGATAAATAACCAGCATTGCTGGCTTTGCCGCATCACACCCACCAAAAGCATCATTATCGCCATCATCTCCATGGTTATTAGCTCTGACAGCAACCTCCATGTTTTAGAATCAATGATTCACTCTGGTACGGCCACGCATCATTCGGGGTGTACGTAACCTAAACTAAACTGCTGACAAGCTAAGTCCGGCTCGCGATTCTGACGACATAATGGGCACTTAACCTGAGGGTCATTCAGTTGCTTAAAATTATTGGTTGATGTATGTATACATGGTGATATTTCTTCTGCAGGGTTTACTCAGAAGACGCGTCTTTTTCTCTACTTTGGAAGGAGTCTGCATTCGTACCAACTCTAGTCAGTTACTAATATCCCTTCTGAGGGATCTTATCGTGTTGAAACGTTTTCTTAAACTGGAGCGAACTCGCTTCAGTTTGCTGAAGAACTAAGCACTGTATGCCCCTTCAAGCCACAATTCTGTAAAAAGGTATCTGGTATTTCGACACCTATTGGCTTCATATATATATATATATATATATATATATATCAGCACAGCACCAAATGGCAGTGTTACTTCGTTCAATTCTGATCACTCTACAATGAAATCAAGTTGCATCGGCTCTCACGTATTTTAAACCCATAATCACCTTTATCTAAAAGCATACTACGATATCTCGAATATCATACCAACAGAAAGATGAGGCGGCCTTTGTGCAGCACATTTAGTTGAAGAATGCCATAAACAAAAGATTCAGTTGAGTCCCCATTGAAAACCATATTGATTCAAAAATGAATGTATTTGTTGAAATCAGTTCAATTAGGGTTCAAGAAGGACATACGGTTGACGGAACTCGGTGACGGCCCCCCACAAAGGACGAAACCGGTCTTGGGCAAACTTTTCAGTAGTTTCCTTCATGAAAATCGTATCTCATCAGCATGACTTTGTAAGGCTTTAGCTTGTTTGTAAATAGAGATGAAGTCCGACTACCTACTTCATGCACTTCTACAACTTTTTTCTTCAACGTCAAACAACGAAGATAATCCCGAACATACCATAGGAATTCACAGGTCAGTGACTTATCTTGCACTGAACACTACTTCCAGTGTATTTCAAGAGGTCTTTCTCCCAATAAGTTTTGTTGACTTCGAATTTTTTTATCCAGTACAGCACGAAAACTACTCATGAGTAACAAAACTAAATGAATGGGTTTTGTCTAAACTTAACACAGAAACATAAATAAATGGGAGATTCAGCCGGATTTAGTTGAGCCAGGACAAATTTCGTGTATGAATAAGAGCATTATGTGTCGAAAATAGTTTTTCGTCATCACTGTGTTAAGAATCAAGGTTAAAACCTAGTTGAGAAAATATTAGTTACCGTTTGAAACTGTTAGTCTATGGGGACTTGGCTACTTCCAAGATATACTGAAGAATACTTGAGGGGGAACGGTGAGCAATTCCTGACCTCTAGTTTGCTCCGTGCATTTTTGCTTTAATCTACAGCCGAGATGAAATGTATAGGTTGTGCAGGTAGTTTCACATAAACGGCACCAATGTAACAGCGACCGTGTCTGCACCACTGCATTAGATCTGAGTTAAATGAGATGACCGAACTCATTTTTAGGGCAAACTTTGGGAGGATTTGTCCTACACCTTCAGTCGTCGGATTGATACTAAATTTTTAGGGCTAATCCTTCCGCCTTAAATCTGGACCAACCTCGGAACCTACCCCTTGGCCTGACGAAGGTTTTGTGTCAAAAGCGAAACGTTGCCCAGCAATAAATCTACAGAGTGTCGCCAGCTTTTTTTAAAAAATTAGTGAAACGTTTTTAATAGGAGAACAAAAAGGACTTTGGCCTTTAAAAAGCTTACGTATACTTACCGTGCAAGTACGAGTAGATAAAACCAAAGGGATGCATTAGCTCTGGGTTAAATGAGATGACCGAACTCATTTTAGGGCAAACTTTGGGAGAACTTGTCCTACACCCTCAGTCGTCGGATTGATACTAAATTTTTAGGGATAATCCTTCCGCCTTAAGTCTTGACTAACCTCGGAACCTACCCCTTGGACTGACGAAGGTTTTGTGTCAAAAGTGAAACGTTGCCCAGCAATAAATCTACAGAGTGTCACCAACTTTCTTGAAAATTAGGGAAACGTTTTTAAGATGAGAACAATTTAAAAAAGCCGGCCAACTCCATTGTTTTCACGAGATATTCCATTGATGACCGGGACAAGCTTGTGTCCCCGTGGACTGTGAACGAACAACTATCGTTCAATAGGCTATTCAGTCGACTCACCAAGCAGAGTTGGGAATAAGCTAAATGTTGTGAACATTATCACCGTTATCAATGTCCGTACCGCCAATTCTCCGATGAATACCACCATTGAAGCTTAAACCTATCAACAATTTCGACAATCCGTTTCCAAGTGAAGATTGATTCATCTCAAGAACACAACGTTGGATTGAGGTTCCTTGCAGTTGCAAGCTGCTCTTTACGTTCAGTGAACCCACGTGACCACACCAGGAGCTTCTGATGCAGTTCATAAAAAGCCTGGCTAACTCCATTGTTTTCACGAGATATTCTATCGATGACCGGNAATCAGATGAAAAACACGTGGAACCGATTGAATAGTCATCGTTGCTGGGCAACGTTTCGCTTTTGACACAAAAGCTTCGTCGGGCCAAGCAACTAGGTTACGAGGTTGGTCAAGATTTAGGGCGGAAGGAGAAGGGACTGCGAGTCACACCACAGCCGCTGATAGTCGAGGCGGTGGAAACCAGCAGTCCTCACAGCGTGAACAGAATCGAGGGTGCGGAAGTGATGAGCGTATGGAAAGCGGTCTTAGATGAACCGAGTTGATACGCGACTATGTGTGGTTGTCAATTCACCTGGGATCACTAGCAAAAACAGTGGGGGGAGGAATCCCAACCCAAACAAAGTTCACAGACTCCCTCTTACACAACTATTGCAGTACTAGCTCATCCACACAGACGGACGAAATATGCAAACGACGTTCAAGAGTGATCATTACATAAACCGAACCAAAAGAACTGGACCTTACACTCATCTGCAAACTAGACCTTAGGCTGGACCCAAATACGTGTAAGTTTCCCCATCGAGCCAACACTTGTTCACCCACCCTAACACACAAAAAACCCTCCGCCGATACCTAACAGAGATTTAGCTTCACTTAGCTGATTGGTCCTTCTTCCGCCTTAAATCTCAACCAACCTCGGAACCTAGTCACTTGGCCCAATGTAGCTTTCGTGTCAAAAGTGAAACGTTGCCCAGCAATAAACCTACCGAGTGTTACCAAACTTTTCCGAAAACTATTGTTCAGTTTTGTGGGTTTCAGAGGCGCATCTCATAAAGATTTGACACAAAACCCACTGTGGCCTTACTCCACCATTGAGGACGGTGAATACAAATCCACGTTTAATGTCTAGATAGGTTTACTAACATTTTTTGACATTTATGATTGTTTCTTACTTCGGCTAATCAAATCTGAGTAGAAAGAAACCATTAACAAATCCCTTTTAGTCAAAAGAAACTTTATGAAACATGATATTATCGTGATGGCACATTTCACCTAATTTACGGTTTCATAAGCCCGAGCAGCGGGGTAAATCTCAGTGCAGAAATTTCCTGCAGTTCATTGGCCTTGTTCTACCCAACGTCCGCCCATCTTGAGGGAAAGGAACGATTATATTCGGAGTTGAGCTTTTTTAAGCAGCCGCCCAAGGGGAAGCAAGTAAAACTAGTGCGTGCTATGGAAAAGTACAACAGGAAAAAACAAACGGGGTGAACTTGCAGGGAAGAAATGATGCAATAAAATGACTAAAAAGGGATACCTTGGTTTACTAACATTTTTTGGCATTTATGATTGTTTCTTACTTTAGCTAACCAAATCTGAGTAGAAAGAAACCACCAACAAATCCCTTTTAGTCAAAAGAGACTTTGTGAAACATGATATTATCGTGATGACACATTCCACCTAATTTACGGTTTCATAAGCCCGAGCAGCGGGGTAAATCTCAGTGCGGAAATTTCCTGCAATCCATTGGCATTGTTCTACCCAACGTCTGCCCATCTCGAGGGAAGGGAAAGATTATATTCGGAGTTGGGCTTTTTTAAGCAGCCGCCCGAGGGGAAGCAAGTGAAACTTGTGCGTGCTATGGAAGAGTACAACAGGACAAAACAAACGGGGTGAACTTGCAAGGAAGAAATGATGCAATAAAATGACTAAGGAGGGGTACCTTTTGAACGAGCGGTGGGTAAACGAACGGCAAGTCCGACTTCACGTGCGCCAAAAGTTGAGCAGACAACCTGTCGAGTTAGGTTGGGCTATACGATACCGTAGGTCAGTATGCTTCGCCTGATTATTTGTTTGTTTCCCCCATGACACTAGACTGACCTGTTCTATTCGAAGCGTGAAACCTTGCTAGAGATAGCTTGCGAACGGCCGGTTCCAATGTACGTGTTTGGGGTCCTAGAAAGTGCTTGAGTCGTGGAATTTTAGTGCAACATGCGTATTGCACGTATAGAGGCCGGCTATTTTTGTACCATGTGTTGCATCAGGATAATAAACCCAAAGTAGGATGAAGTACATCTTTCTGTATCAAATGCATGCACATACATATGAGAAAACCAAATTATCTAACGGAGGTGATCAATCAGTTAACAACAAAATGACACATGAGTGTGTATCACGTGATTCAAGCATGATACAAGTTAGATCCGCAATAGTGATTACAGTTAATTGCATAAGTCTTTAAATCTGTGCTATTACCCCCCCTGGCTGAGAACTGATGAAGCAAACAGTCAGCTCTATCGGTGGTTGTATTAGAACATATTTCAGTCAACAAATTTGGTCATGGTGCGTTAGTACCAAGACCGCTCAGTCGGTAAATCAGCGAACATTTCAGGAAAGATGCGAGAAAGATATCCAACACATTCTCTCGTGCTATTGGCAACCTACTCCTCACATAGTGCACAGCAAAGCAAGCAGCGCAATTTCTTGAGAACCACAAATCATTTTCGATCGGACCTGAAGCACTCATAAATGCGGTTACCTGCTGTCTGGACCGTAAAAACAGGTAAGTCATGAAAGCGAGTTCTAAAACAAATACATTTCCGACCATCCAGGCAGTAAACTTATGAAGACTGTTGCTCGCTACTGTGCTTATGGAGCCAAGTAGACAAGAATAAGGAACAGATAGTTGAAATGTCTCGAGAAATCTACTCGCGCCGCAAAGGACCATTGTGAAAGAAGATATTTGTCCATGAATAACCTCACATGTACCATGGAGCGAGATTCACATAGATTTTATCAGATTAACACATGAATAACAGCTTGTTGTCTTTGTGGATGCGACGTGTTATGTAAATCCGTTTACCGGGGTAGTTGTATTGGAAGCGGCGTATTGGCTCGGGAAGCTCAGGACAGCTTTTTGCAAACTTCAACACCTATGGCGCTGGATGGATGTCAGTTTATCCGACAAAGGCATAGGATACACTGCGGTGGTGCGATTTACTCTGCTTTAAATATCAGATACATGGCTTTTATGTGCAGAGGACTACAAAAGCTGCCAGTGCTCGGTGTCTCCGAAGCGTTGGCCGGGTTCGGCAGAAATAACAGATCAGCAATGCTGAGGTGCGCCAGAGCTTTAAGAAGACGGAACTCTCATACAACGGATGAGCTACCCATGCTTCATAGGCTATGCTGGCAAGGACGTATATTCCGCATGCAAGCGGACCTCCCGCCCCCTCATCTT